GAAATTTCCTATGCCCCCGAGATAGGGCCGTGCCGACCTCTGCTTTATATATATACGGATGGTTCGAAGTTGATTGCCCAGGTGGGAGGCGGATTTGTGTAGCCCAATCCTTCTTCAATGGAATGGAGACCTTATCGTGGGAGAATGATTGACGGATATATCCATTGCGATAGTCTTTGTCTAAACGAGTAATAGCTATCATGGAAACTCTTAGATCACCACCACTTGCAGGCACTCAAGAAACTATTTGTATCATCTCAGATAATCAAGCGGCACTCAGGGCTTTTGCTTGATTTTCATCCAACTCTAGGACAGTGAATGACGGTCGGATGGATGGCATGACGTCCCTCTCATATGGGTGCCCGGACATAGGGACCACGGAAGAAATTGCGCCGCTGACGAGCTGGCGCCACACCACGATTACAGTAGGAGCTGCAAGGATGTGTAAGAGGAAGAGAGAGTCAAACATCTCCTGTGTCACTGCCCTGCGCTTGGGAGTAATCAACTCCAACTTCTGGGTGCAGATACGCTTACTGACCTAACAGACCTTACGGAAATCGCTCCTCACGGACTTATTGCCTTCATCCGGATTTATTATACAACATTCAATTATAAAATATTATTTTCTGTACGTCTTTCTTTGAGAACAACTTATTAGCAGTCCTTCTAAGGGTCAAACCCGTTTATTCGACAGGCCCCGATGGTTTTTTTTTTTTATATACAGTCGAGTCCCGATAACTCGAAATGGCAAGGGGATCATTTTTTTTACGAATTTGACGGGAATTCAATTTATCGAGATTTCTATTTAACGGGGCTCAAAAATGAAAGAGTCGAATAAACGGGGTTTTTACATTTCACATCATGTTTACATATGTATTTAACTTTATTGAAATTAAACAAACATTATAAGTATGTACATTCATTTGTACGTTTTTCAAATGAGGGGAAAATTAAACAATAACATGAAATTGCAAAAATAAAAAATTAAACAATTAAGGAGAAACATTAAATTATAAAAAACAAAAAAACAAGCTTTAAAATAATTGGTAATTTTTGGTAACAATAATTGATAACAGCAAACTCAACGAAAACAGTGAGACAAACACAAAACTCATAATGCATAGCGACATAGAGGTGGCATAGCTGTCTGCAAAATCTATCGGTGCTTTAACTACAAAAAAAATTTCGCATCGCATTACGATTTTGCATCGCATTACAAATACTACGAATAAACGATGGGACCAAAATGTATGGAATTTTTACGAATTAACGAGTTTTTTTCAAGGGGACAGAATTTTTTACGAATTATCGCGATTTTCGATTTAGTGGGGTACGAATTATCGGGATTCGACTGTATTTGTGTTTAGTTGCTCCTTAAAACTATCTTATTTGCCTACTATACATTTTTGTTCCCCGACCGGGCTGTAGGAGCTTCGACCTAAGTTGTGCGGTACGGCCGTAAAGCAATGCTTCGCACACCTCTGGCGCCCTACCATCCCTACGTGGTTGGAATTGTTCGCAACGCAATAGCGGGAAACAGGTAGAAGGGTGGCGCCTGCAATCGAAGAGGAAGTGGAAAGGGTCCTCTGTGACTCCACTGCCGCACGACGCGCAGCAGTCCTCGCTTTCATGACCAAAGCGTTTTAGGTAACTTCGGAAGCAGCCATGCCCACTAAGGGCCTGCGTGAGGTAAAAGTCTACCTGACCATGCTTCCTTTCGGTCCACTCTCCCACGTCCGGAATGAGACGAAACGTCCAGCGTCCCCTGGTTGAGACCTCCCATCGCCGTTGCCAGTTTGACAAACTTGTGGCTCTTGCGTCCCTCTTCCTGACCGACGCCAAAGAGGGGCTGTTTTGAGCCATATTGGCCAGCTCCTTCCTATCTCGGACCAGCTCTTGTATGGGTATCAGACCTGCGATCACGAGAGCCGCGTCGTCCGACACCGTCCTGAAGGCACAGAACGTCCGTAGCGCGTAGAGGCGGTGGTCTGCCTCGATTCCCCGTGCGTAGGATCTTACCTTCAGCGCCTCGGCCCACACTGGGGCGGCGTACAACATTTGGGAGCTCACCACGCTGGTGATGAGCTTGCGCCTTTCCTGCCTCGGGCCTCTGATGTTAAGGAGCATCCGCAAGAGCGCTCTTGTCGTCTGACTCGCCCTCCTATGGGCGTACTCAAGGTGTTCCCGGAACGAAAGCCTCGTATTTAGCATAACCCCAAGGTATTTTATTGCTCTCTTTGAAGTAACGGCCACTCCTCCTACGTGTACCGTCGCTGTTTCGACCTTCTTCCGGCTCGAAATCTTCACGGCTTCCGTCTTTTGTGGGGAGAGGTGAAGGCCGGCACTAGACAGCCATGCCTCCACGTTCGCCACCGCGGAGTTTTTTTGGGTTTCCACCCCGCGAACAGTCTTCGCCACCACCACTGCCCGGCTGTGTGCTAAGATACTGTGCCAGAGTGCAAACCTCTTCATCAGTGGTCGGCACTCAAGACATTGATATGATTTTAACGCATTGGTATTAGTAACATTAGTAATATGTGAGCATTACGTTTCAGACGTTTATAGTGTGTTTGTGCGGTATAGCTCGGACAGAGAAATTTCCTATGCCCTTGCTCTGCCGACCACTGCTCTACATAGACTTTAACTTATCCTTGGAAACCTCGATTTTTCCTTTTATGAGGAAGGAGTCTTTCATAATTCCCTCATAATATTCTTTATAAAATTATTCCCCATAATTCATAATTTCATAATTGAGAAAGCAAAAAACGTGGATAGGTGGAACGTAACGGTTCTCGGGGCGGCCTCGCAACCGTGTTTGTGAACATCAACGGAAGGTGTGGAGGAGGGCGACGCAAAGTGAAAGGGGCCCTCCGCATTGCAACAGCCGAGGTCCGTGGGGGAAGAGGCGAGGCACCCGCTAACGGGAAAGTGGCGTGATCAAAATCCATTGGAGCAAGTCGGAACGAGTCTTTGTGGCGTTGAGTTGGAAGACCGCCTTTGTCCGTGTCCGGACAAAGAGTCCGCGATTCAAGTGTTAGAGCGTTTCTCTAACTAAAAGAAACCAATAGTTTGAGTTGAAGGAACGACTCTTAAGAGTTCAATAGCCCAAGCTAGGAAAAGATCCGTTGCAAGACGGTTCATCTAAAGCCCAGTGTATCATAGTCAAGTTGGACCATCCCCGACCACGACGGGTAGCTGTGCTACGAAGCGAGTAAGGGATCAGTCTAGCGTACGCCTTACCGACTCCTGAATTGCGGCAAACATGCGCGACCGTGCGAGACAAAGATAGGCCTACTCGTGAACAGCGACCAACAGGAAGCATTGATGACGGAGCTGAGCGGAAACCAGGAGTAGCAGCAAGGATCCGGAGCGAAGCCCATTTAAGAAACAAGAAATAATCTCTATTGTATTTGGTATTTGGAAATACCAAAAATGATATTTGGAAAGAAAATTGCAAAAATGGTATTTGGAAACCCTCTGAATAAAGGTTTCATAGCGTTTATATGAAATCTGTATTATTTCTGGACTCGCGCAATCACGTCGAAATATAAATTCGGTGCAAGAGACACATTAACTCTGTGAGCTAGCCGAGGCAAATTGTGAGCGAGAAGCCGAAAAAGCTGCTCGTAACACTCCTTATTTGCAACATCTTCGCGTATCGATCATTTCTTCATCTCGGCATGGCTTTATTAAATATCGCTTTAATACTACTAATTAATTGCAGTTCGAGATTTCAAGAAAGGAAAAAAAAGATTTCAAACTGATGTTGTTTTTGCAGAAATCGAGAATTCTATTCAGTCAATGACTCACTCCTGTTGAGTAAACTGAATCTTCTGGGATTTTCTATAGACCTCCTTGCATGGATCATCAGCTACTTAGTTGGAAAAACACAAAGATTTTCATTTTAAAATGTGCAAATGTGTTGCTTTGTCCGTGGTACATCTGGAATCCCCCATGAAAGTCATCTTTGCCCGTTATTGTTTACTCTTTTTATAAACGACTTGCTCCGTGCTTTAACGAAATTGCTGGTACTTATCCGATCAGTCAGATATAAAAAAATTTCAAAAATGGTGTTTCCCCTAATGATTTCTTAATGGATCAATATGCAAAATTTTATCTTTTTATCGTTATTCCCTTATCCAGGCTTAGCATTTAGATTTAGAAAAACTCATGGTAATGACCTGTTAGACTGTTAGGCGTTCTGTTAGACTTAAAACTCAAATTTACCGGCCATATCTCAACACGCTTACATTTTAACGTTCCTAATAGAAGGACTAGAAACTTTATTTCTCTGTTGCTTAGCCATTGTAGTGCCACATATGCACAACACGACCCTCCTAGGGTTTTATGGTCGAATTATAATGGTCTCTACCCTATCATCACACTTTACTCTCATTCAAATTTAACACCATACATTTTATTATTATAAAATTTCTTTCTAACTATTATTTATTTAGTTCATAACTCGTTCCCGAGGACCCCTCGTTGGGCTGGGCGTCTAAGCTTTGTGTTGAATGCAGGAATGCTAGCTGATGCACTAAATGAGGTACCACATATTCCCTTAATTCTGAAAGAACGCGAACAAGAAAATGCAAAGAAGTATAATATAATATAGAGTATATATAGTATAATATAGAAGAATATAAATATATAGAGTGTTAGAATTAAAGCCATCAACAGACAATTTTTACCGACTTCCAAAATTTTGCACGTTTAACTTATGCTACTTATCAAAATCAACCAGCAACCAAAAATCGAGCCAATTTATTTTCATGACTTCGATATAATTGGCTTCCATTTATGATTTTAGATTTCTTTAGATTTTTCTTTTATGACTTAACTTAGTGTTGCTGCTTAGTATGCTTGAAGTGCTCTCCTATTTTAAATTCAAAGACAAATTTTTTATATGCAGTTTTGGAATAAATTCCATGATAAATGATAAAATTATCATTCCCATATTCTCTGTTCCGTTCTGAAACTAAATAGGCGGCGCTATTTTGACAAAGATAGAAATAACCTCTTATTAAATAGATACTATCAAATCATCAAAGAAATCAAAAAAAAGGAAAATTATGGTATTTTCAGATATATATCTGTAAATATTGATGTATTTCAGTTATTCTGAATCAAACACATATAGATTCATTGAATTTTGATAATGGACTCGTTGAAAGAAATTAACAACAAGAATATTATTCTCGAGGTAGATATTTAAGAAAAGGGTAAAACTTTATTTTAATTTTAATTGTAAATATTTATAAAGGTACTCCATTTGGCTGTCGATTACTTAATCGGAAATATAAACGAAAATCAAACTCTTCGATCTTCGCACAAGTTTGGTTTTTCCAATCCGTATGATTTTCTCCTTACAACAAGCACCTTGGCAAAATATTACCTGCAAAATTTTATGTATACAAACCGTATAGAAATTGTCCCTCAATTTTTTATCGTGAATAACGAAGTAAACCAACACGTATCCACCGTTTTAATATCCCGAAAGCAGGAAATAGCCAATTATATTAATAGATGGAACTACTCGAAAAAAAATTTGGTAGAGTCATTTTCATGGGAAACAAAGCTAATATTAGGAGACAGCTTGTTTCGAGGAAATTTTAATCATATAATTACCTTAAGAATATGTTACGGTACCAAAAATTTACAAAACAGAATTTTTGTTGAGTTTAAAAAGAAACAGCTTTACTATTTTATAAGTCTTTTGGAGCACAGTTTAAATCAATAAAATACAATAAATTTAAGGCTTATAAAAAGAAGTTTAATGTTCAATTATGTGTTCTATTAAAAGTGTTTTTGTAGCATTTTAATCCAGATGGAAGAGAATTTTTCATTTGGCAACCATTTCAACTTTATCCAAGAAAGTCAAGAATAACACCAAATGATTTCTTTAAAATTATGTAGGGAGAATTTATGTACATACATACATACCGTGCTTAACGGTCTTTATGGTGTATTTGGTTTCATAGGCATCTCCAGGTCGCCGCCACACCTTGAAACGCCCATCTGACCCAAATATATTGTATTTAGACTCTTCAGCAAAGATAACTTTGCGCCAGAACTCAACCGAATGTTTTTTATTTGTAGGTTTTTGCGAACTCAAGTCTTTTAACCAGATTTAACCAGACAGTTTCTCACAATTTTGTAGGACATCCTCGAAAGAAGACTCTTATTGAGTCTCTCGGAAGCTTAAAATTTTCGATTGTAAGGCCAATAGAGCCCCTTGAAAATTTTCAGTCATTTTCTACATATTAAAAAAAAAATTTTTTTAACATAAGAAATTTAATAATTTAAAAAATGCTTTCAAATCATGAAAGCTAAATACCTTCCGAATATAACAAAAAAATGTCAACTCGATATAATAACACGCGCTCGTACCACACTAATGCAAAGTTCACATTTAGTGCAAGTACTTAGGAGTCCGGATTTCATTGTCCGCTACTGTATATAAAAAGACAAAAATTTATACAAAAAAAAAAATCGATGCCCCTTGGTAGATACCCATGTGGCTCTTCTGTATAGAATACCCAATTCCGTTACTATATCGATGTCCCTTAGTAGTACGTATCAGCTTCGGTACTCTTCTTGATTACACCAATTTGATACTCATTGGTATACGAAGAGGTGACGATTGTACACTGTCCATGACATGCCTTAGTTAAATTCGAGTCTGAAATACATGTCTAAGGTATTGACTGAGGAGTACTCGTCTACCCTAGAGGCATAGTGAATTCGACACCCCCCTTGGTGTTCGCGTTTGAAGTGAAATATTATCAAAACTATTAAAGATGTATCTGTACAATTATTTTTCAATATAATTCGATTAATTCTCTAAATAAAAACATATTTTAGAACGTTATTGGTATTTGCATACATTTTTACTAAATTAAAAACTAAAGAAACAGGTTTATTTGGAAGAAAAAACTGCGTCATCAGGATAGCGTCAACTACATTAACATAACTTTTTTCGATGAGTTTCTTACAAAACATTATCTTAAACAATTTTATGTTTAAATTTAAGCATTTTTAAAGAAAATTAATTATGCTTTGCCCCTCCCTTGTTTACAAGGACTTCGCAAACTCGATTGAGGAGAGAGTCATACAAGTTTTTGAGATAGTCCAACGGTATTGTTGACCAGGCCTGTTTTATACTGTGAATTAAATCCTCCTTGGTAGCATATTGCTTGCCACCCTCGTACACCTTCCTAGCTAACCATCCCCAGACGTTTTCTATTATGTTCAAGTTTGGGGAGTATGGGGGCCACTCCAGGACACTGACATTTTCCTTTTGAATCATTGCTTTTACGGTCCTGGCTGTGTGGATTGTGGCATTATCATGCTGAAAATGCTGTTTGAGATTCTCAAATAAGTTTTTAAAAACGGGAAACGCAGTTTTTAGAACGCATTTGTATATTTGTAGATATGGCTCCCCATACCATTACTCCTCCAACCCGGCTGTGTAAGCGATCCAGATGATGCTCTTCCTTGCGTAAATGGTGGAAATAATAATTATATGCGTCAGGACCCTTTAGGTTAAATTTTTTTTCGTCTGAAAATACGATGTTATGCCACTCATTAGACCATGTCATATGGGCTCGAGGAAACTTTAGGTGGGTTTCTTTTCTCACTTGATTAAGAGGTGGCTTTTTTTTTAGTTTTCGCCTCTTTAAATGGTCAGCCCTCTTGATTACCCTTAAAACAGTCGATTTGCTTGCCTTAACACCAGTTTTTATACCCTTGCAGAGGGTATTATAATTTTGTCCAAAAGTGTGCAACGCAGTGAAGGAGACATCTCCGACCCTATAAAGTATATATATTCTTGATCAGGATCACCTCCTGAGTTGATATGAGCATGTCCGTCTGTCCGTCTGTCCGTCTGTCTGTCTGTCCGTCTGTCTGTTTCTACGCAAACTAGTCTCTCAGTTCTAAAGCTATCGTCTTGAAACTTTGCACACACCCTTCTTTCCTTTGCACGCAGTATATAAGTCGGAACGGCCCGGATCGGCCGACTATATCCTATAGCTGCCATATAACTGATTGATCGGAAATGGTATAGCTTTGGTATTTTTAAAGTTAGAGAGTTCAAATTTTAGGTGAGAGCTATTTTTGGCAAAATAATACGACATGCCAAATTTCATAAGGATCGGCCGAATATATCCTATAGCTGTCATATAACTGAACGATCGGAAATGACCCAACTTTCGTGTTTTTGAAGATAGAAAGCTGGAATTTAGTACAGACTCTATTTTTGGTCAGTTGATCCAACCTACCAAATTTCATTAGGATCGGCCGACTATATCCTATAGCTGCCATATAACTGAACGATCGGAAATGGTATTTGGTAGAAATATCAACTTTCGTATTTTTGAAGATAGAAGTTTGGGACTTTTTTTTAGATTTTGTATTGTAATAAATTGGAGTATATATTCCTATTCCCATAAGGATCGGCCAACTATATCCGATGTTTGCGATATATATCCGGTTTTAACTGCAAGGGTATATAAACTTCGGCTCCGCCCGAAGTTAGCTTTCCTTTCTTGTTTTTTTTGGTTTTGCAACTTTATCAACTTTGAGAAATCTGGATGATGCAGACTTAATCATAAAAGAATTAATTAAGCTATGCGAAGACGACTCTTATTAGCTAGGCTCTCCGAAGATACATATATATACGTATACCTGTACGATATTAGAAATCGAACTGGGCTGCTTTACAATATATACATATATGTAGGTTCTTTATTATACCCTTGCAGAGGGTATTATAATTTTGGTCAAAAGTGTGCAACGCAGTGAAGGAGACATATCCGACCCTATAATGTATATGCATTCTTGATCAGGATCACCTCCTGAGTTGATATGAGCATGTCCGTCTGTCCGTCTGTCTGTCCGTTTCTACGCGAACTAGTCTCTCAGTTTTAAAGCTATCGTCTTGAAACTTTGCACACACCCTTCTTTCCTTTGCACGCAGTATATAAGTCGGAACGGCAAGGATCGGCCGACTATATCCTATAGCTGCCATATAACTGATTGATCGGAAATGGTATAACTTTGGTGTTTTTAGAGTTAGAGAGTTCAAATTTGATATGAGAGCTATTTTTGGCCAAACATTACGTCATGCCGAATTTCATAAGGATCGGCGGACTATATCCTATAGCTGCCATATAACTGAACGATCGGAAATGACCCAACTTTCGTGTTTTTGAAGATAGAAAGCTGGAATTTAATACAGATTCTATATTTGGTCAGTTGATCCTACCTACCAAATTTCATTAGGATCGGCCGACTATATCCCATAGCTGCCATATAACTGAACGATCGGAAATGGTATTTGGTAGAAATATCAACTTTCGTATTTTTGAAGATAGAAGTTTGGGACTTTTTTTAGATTTTGTATTGTAATAAATTGGATTATATATTCCTATTTCCATAAGGATCGGCCAACTATATCCGATGTTTGCGATATATATCCGGTTTCAACTGCAAGGGTATATAAACTTCGGCTCCGCCCGAAGTTAGCTTTCCTTTCTTGTTTCTATTATTTTGGCGGTCGAGTCGTAGGAGTTGGACGCCTCTCGGAGTATAGCCCTGCGATCTGCTGAACTATTAACACTGTTATTACCTCCTTCGTAATTTTTTCCATAGCTTTCCTTGCAAAATTTGCAATCGTTTTGCGATGTCTTCCCTTTTTTCGGCGATTTTGTGAAGAAAAAGTCCACATTCATTGAACGCTTCGATTTTCTATTTTTCCTTCGAAGATAAGATTGTTCCTCTGCCCATATTGTATATCAAATAAAAGAAAAATGTTTTATTTAACAGCAAAGCAAAAACTGTTAATGTGCTCAGCAAGTAAAAAAAATATATAAATTTATATTTGTATATTATATTTATATTTATTAATTTATATTAATACTTTTAAATTTTGTACAGAAATTATAAAGTCATATGGTGGCAAAATAACGTTTGCTAGTAATTAATATAATAGTAATAGTAACTAATTTTTTTACATTTAATTTTTATAAAATGAATGAAAAAATATTGCGGTACAATATTGATCTTGTACTTGCAATACACATCAAATATAATGTATTTCATTCTGCTACACTGTGTAAAAATACCGCATAAAGTATGTGAAGCATAAAAGCACAACGGAAATTCACTCGTACTTTTTTGAGCAATTTGTATGCTTGTGCTCAGGCACCGCATATTTTTTGTCGTTGTGTCGTTTTCATGTTCGTTTTTCATGCATGTTCGTTTTCGTCCGCATATAACCGCTTACTATGCGGTGTCTATAACACCGCCATCGCAAAAAGTGTGAGTATACTACTAGTGTCGAAAACAGCCGATACCGAACACGGTACACACATCTAATAAAGTCATCCTGATCAAGAATATATATACTTTATAGGGTCGGAGATGTCTCCTTCAATGCGTTGATGTCTCCTTCACACTTTTGGGCAAAATTATAATACCCTCTGCAAGGGTATAAAAAAACCTCTTTTACGTAAAAACATGTACGTAAAAAATCGTTTCTTTTAAATTTATTAACAAAACGTTAAAAAATCCCATCTCCTAAAATTTTTCATAGTTTTTGAAAAACAAAATAAGTAGTGTTTGCTAGTGGATAGACAGTCAAACTAGATGCATATTCATGCCCGATAATGAAAAGAGACTCGTTCTTTCAGATTTGAACTGTATTATAAAATCTTTATTTCACGCAATCCCGCTAGGACCAGTGTTACTATGATTAAGATTTTTTTATGATTATAAGATTAAAGTGTAACTTAAGATTTTACCCGTATACGTTTACCCGTTACCC